GCGGCAGAGGAGCCGCAGGGACTCCCCCGGGGCCTTGAGGTGCCCCCGGACTCCACCAGGGTCACGGCCGCCCGCAGCCCTGTGAGGAGGGAAAAAGGAAATATTGGGATGAGCCGGAGGAACAAGACCTGCCTGGGCGACCGTGACCCTGGTGGAGTCTGGGGGTGACCTCAAGGCCCCGGGAGAGTCCCTGCGGCTCCTCTGCCGCGCCTCTGGCTTCACCTTCGGCAGCTACGCCATGGAGTGGGTGCGCCAGAGCCCCGGGAAGGGGCTGGAATATGTTGCTGGGATCAACAGCAATGGTGGCAGCACCTGGTACGCGCCGTCGGTGCGGGGCCGGTTCAGCATCCCCAGGGACAACGGGCAGAGCTCGGTGACGCTGCAGATGAACAACCTCAGGGACGAGGATTCCAACACCTATTTCTGTGCCAAAGATGCTGGTGCTGGTGGTGCTGTTGAAGGTATCGACGCCCTTGGCAGGGTCCCCACCTGTCCCCAAACCCCAGACCCTCCCCCCAAACCTCCACCCTTCACACCCAGCTCTCGGTCGTTGGTCCCAGCCTTGGGCTGGTTTTGCCCCAATTCTCCACATTTGGCCCCAAACCCCATCTCTTTGCCCCAAATCTCCACCATTTTGGCCCCTGAGCTCAACTTGGCCCCTCAAATCTCATCCATTAACCCCGGAACTCAACCTTTGACCCAAATCTCAACCATTGACCCCAAAACGCAACCATTGACCAAACCCATGGCCCAAATTGAACATTGTCGAAGGCTTGGGCAAATGGCCAAGATTTGGGGCAGAGGGCAGAGGTTTGGGGTCAACGGTCAAGATTTGGGTTCAACGGTCAAGGTTCGGAGTCAGTGGTTGAGATTTAGGGTCAAGGGTTGAGATTTGGGATCAATGGCTGAGATTTGGGTCTGAAGGGTGGGGGTTTGGGGGCAGAGTCTGGGGTTTGGGGACAGGTGGGGACCCCACAAAGGGAGTCGATACCACCAGCATGAGCAGCACCAGCACCAGCAC